ATATATATGATGGGTATGCTTTGTTTTGAAGTATAGCAATTGAATGATATTGTCTAATTACACAGTTTTGCTAGTGTGTAGCATAAAAGTTACTTTTGAGCCTAGTCAAGAATTTACTATTTCTGCCACAAACACGGCAGACAGTAAATTGATAATGGTATAAAGAAATAGACAAGAGATGATTAGTTCATTTGTCTATTAATAAGTGAAAGAAATGGATTTTTATTGTGTCTCTTCATTTACACAACAAAGTTGACACTTATCTTAAGTAGAACATTTAACTGGAAATATGAAAATTTTATACTTGATAATTTTTATAATAATCTTATATATATATATATATATATATATATATATATATATATATATAATATATGTACACATCATACATACATATATATATATATATATTTTTTGATGTTATAAGTTTGTTAACAGATTTTTTTTTAGAGTCTCCATGTTGTTTTTTTATTTAATCTTGTAAATTTAGACCAATCATCAATGAAGTTTTGGAATTTTTATCACAAAATTAAAATATTAGAATTGTTTTTAAATTCTTTTGTGGCAGTTTTGTTTTCTTTTTGTTGTAACCTAGGGAAGGTTACTAAACAGAATAATCATACAAAGGTTGGTAATAAATGAAAATACTTAGGACAGGAACAACACATATAAGATTTAATAGTGGCACATAGAAGGAGTAGTCAACTGCTAGAAGGGAATCAAGTGAATTCCACAATGAATCTCCAACTGCAGGATATCTACCAACTTCCCCACGTGATCAGCTGTGGCACAAGGCTGAATTTAATGTGGGGTATCCAAGCCATGAGGCTCAGCTAAAAATTCCCCATAGACCCCGTATAAAACAGGGTTGGGTAGCTATTACCTGAAATAAGACTTTGTCCTACAGCATCACCTCATCTGGGGATCCTCTCTGCCCGCAGACAGAGAGTTTGACCAGCACAGCTGGAGATGAATCTCCAACTGCAGACCAACATACAGTATTTACTACTTGCATGGAGTGTGATCTTTTAGATATTCTACCTTGAGAAGACTCTCAGGTTTTATTAATTTATCAGTGTCCAGTTGGATAATGACTGATGTAGGATTTTGATTTCAGCCTTCTTTGTGAGGATGTCAAATTTAGGCTGGAGGTGGCAATTTGGTCCTAGATTTAGGAATTCTTTCTGTCATCTGTTAATTTATGACTGGATAGGTTTATATATTTATCAATGTTGTTGGGAAATAAAATATTTCCTTGCTTTTTCATAATTATTTGTCTGTATTTAAATTCATCATCATTAATACTTAGGTTGATATTTTATAGTGCTTCATTATATTCGGGTTTGGTCAAGGTGCTTTTAATATTGCATTATGTTTTTGGATCTCATTATTTAATTTCTACCTGTTGCTATTTGTCATAAAACAAGGTCTTATTCTGAATGTTGTAGTGTTACTTTATTTGGTGGCTGCCAAGTCATGTAATTTAATAATTGCGTATTTGGACAACAATCCCTCTTTTATACAAGTTTCATTAAAAACAACTGACAAGTTACTGCGGTTAAGTTTTTTTATCCTTTTGCCAAGTATGAAGAATATGCAGTGGTGGGAGGGTCAAGTTTGCTTCCTTTTCCTGGCAGGACAAAAACAGACCCCTACTGTCCTTAAAATTGACTAACTGTCCATTTACACTTGGTGGGGAGGTCAGGCTCAAGACTGAAAAATATAGAAAGAAAAATGGACAAAGTTATTAAAATTTTAGAAAAATAATGGAAAGAGTTGTGAATTGTTGCGTGATATCTGCCATCGTCTATGGCAGTGAATGCTGGACAACAATGTCTTCATGGATGAAGAAACTTGAAGCAATGGAAATGTGATTTCACAGAAAGATTCTGAGAATACCAGGGACTGAACATGTGAGCAATGATGAAGTTAAAGAGAAAATGGAAACAAATGGACACTTATACTTAACATCAGAAAGAGACAATTGAAATTTCTAGGGAAACTTTTTGAAATTTGATATTCACAGGACAGAAGGCAAGAGGGACAGAGGAAAATGACTCATAATCTTCCTAGCATGCTTGAGTAAATGAATGGCAGAACAGGGTTTAGGAAAGATAACAAAAAGACGAAATTTATAAACAGCTACAAAAGACACAAAATTGTGAGGAGTCATAAAGAAGAGACTTGAATCAACAGAAATGTGCTTTTACAAGATGCTAATAATATCAGGGATGAAACATGTGAGCAACAACAAAATTTTAGAAAAAATGTAAACAAAAAAGAGATTTATATTTAACATCAGAAAAAGGGAGTTGAACTTTCTAGGAAACATAATGAGGAAAAAAGGGCTTTGAAAATTTGATATTCATAAAACAGACTGAAGGCAAGCATGCAGGAGGAAAACAACATCTAACTTAGAAAAGAGCTTAGGAAACATAACAAAAAGACAAAATTTATTGTGGAGAGCCATGATTGCCAACATCCTGAAGGGATATGGCTCAGAGAAGAAGATGGGTTATGAAAATGGCCCCCTGCTGGTCACAGAAAGGCAAGTCATGTTTAAGAGCCCTGCTATACAAGTTCCAATTGAGAAGCATGGAAAATTAGTGGATGTCTTTTCAGTTACAAGATACTGTAATATTATTGAATGATAGGAAAAACAACATTGGAAATTGCAGAAACGTTGGACAGAATAAGGAGAACAAAAACAAAAAGGAAACTTAGGCAAAATAATGACAAGAAAAACCATCTTTAAGAATTTCACAAAAAACAAATTTAAGAAAAAGTAACAGTAATAAGCAAGAAAATATTTTTTGGTAAATGTAAAGAGAGAGAGAGATGCAGAATATTAAGGACATTACCTAAAGACATAAAAGCAATCAAACTACCACCTTTAAGTATCATGAAAAGAAATATATGTGAAGATTGGTTTCTCAAAAGTGATGAAACTATAGCTACATTGAATGGACCTGATTTTGTCATGTAAATAATCAACCAACATGACTTAGAAAACATGTTCAGTCTGAAAAAAGGTATGAATTCCATTGGTCAGAAATCATCAAAATTAGTATTGTAGAACTGTATCTTGGACATTGTGACTCACAACACCATTCTGGGTCTACACAGTTGTTCTCTGGGTAGTTGGACTTGAACTATGGCAAAACATGGTACCTCAGAACCCTGTAGTAGACATTCCCAACAGAAAAAACAATACTTATGACCATGACATGTTGTTCCTGAAGGTGCCCTTGATATCAACTTTTGAATTCATGAAGTACCAATTGTTTTCATCGTTCAAAACAGCATACAATGTGAAAATTTACTTAAAAAAATTGTAGACTAATCATTTTTGAGATACATGAGAACTTTTTGGAACCTTTCTCATCTCTTGGAGTTCATGGCCCCCAAGAGTAAGTGCCTTGTCATTCTGGTGTATAAAGTCCAAGTTGTTATGCATGGCCATTTTGACAATCTTGGGATCCACAGTTCACTCAGAAGCTATTTTATACATGCATTTTCTTAATTCTTGGACAGTTTTTCTCTTGAAGGCATTCATGAAGTCCCAATTCCATTTTTTGTTTACTCTACTGCTACTTACCAGAGAAACCGGGATACTATTATCTATGTCTATAGTCATTTTGACATTTTAGACAATGCAAAAAGAAAACAACAACTATGTTGAGAATGATTTTGAGGTCAGTATATGCATAAATATGTCTGATAACCTGTTATATACCTATGTACCTATGAACACTATAATGGGTATGTCCCAATCCTCATAAATACATTGGACACTATTGTAAGTGGGGGGGGGGTACTATGCTGTCTAAGTAGTCCCCCACTAGTAGTGGTTTATCGACTTCATGCTGCTGGTGAGTATTGTATTTTGTTGATGTTATAAAGATTACCATTTCATCTCCGACCTCCATTTTGGTTATTTCTCATTCAGTAACACTTTCTAGGTTACAACATATCCTGAACTGTATGCCCTTCTATCAAAGCCATTTTCAACAATATTGCTGAAAAATAGTTGTGCATTAATAGTTAACAGCAGGTTTTTTGTTCTGTATTTGGCTTCACATGATTTAGTGTAGTGGTTGGTGGGGTAGATTTTAATTGAAATTTTACAGTAAGTTTTGTGTCCTCACCCTGTACACATACATATAATGACAACTTCTTTCCTATCATGCATCGAGAGAGAAAAAAAAGGAATGCACATATTCAGTTCTATATACTATATATTTTTTAATCATATCACCCCAAGCAAGGCAATAAAGCCACTAAGACACAAGAGGTTATTGAGTGTGAAAGAATAAGAAAAATAAAATTGTTATTAAGGACTAAGAAGAATAAAAGAAGAGGAATCTAGAAGACAGAAGATAACGATTGACATTGCATATAAATTTTTGAAGATCAGAGTCTGCTGGGAAACAAGAAGCCAGAACTGAGTTCCACAGGCAAGAAGTGCAAAAGAAGAAATTCTTAACATAGAACTTACTGTTACATCTAGCCAATTCAACTGTGAAATGAGAACTTTTTGCCAATCTAGTATTGTATTTAAATTGATAAAGTCTAGGAAACCATAGGACAAAGGTTATCAGAACAATTACCATAAAAGTATTTATAGAAAATTTACAGGGAAGCTATATCATGGTGGTGGAAAATTGACTAATGCCTGGATGCCAGGTCAGGAACAATAACATTGCAGATTCTTCTTTGGATATTGTGTCAAATTATAAATGCTTCATAACCTGAAATAATATAAAAATGGATATACATGTTTATATACAAATACATAGTTATATTTATATATATTTCTATATATGTGCACATATACTTACACATGAATATAATCAGTAAATACACATATGCACATACACTTATAATCTCATCACAGGTTTGCACAAATCTTATAAACATATTTTGGTTGTACCATTTTTGATTTTTTTACTTTTCTTCATTAAGCTTTTTCTTTACTGAGGTCAACCGGGTGCTCTGACCTACAATGCAACAATGCTTACATAGATATACACCAGATAAGAAGGTAGGTATAATGTGTCGTACGCTCGTAAATGTTGAGCTTTTGCCAAGTGCAGAAACGGTAACTGCTGTGCTGATTGAATTATTCTAGGAATAAAAAATGGAACAAAATTAATTCAGAAAGATATGACGTTAAGAGTTAATATTTCTAAATAGAAACTTGATCTTTTTCAGATTTAGAATCAAAGAAATAAATATTTCTTATACACAGGCAGTAATTACAGACGCAGTGAAAAAAAAATCATCTGTATCTATTTTTCTCTAAATGATCTGAAGACAATTTCTTTTTCTTCAGAATGAAGAATTCCCTTTTGAAAAAATTTTTTCAATCATTTTACTCTAAGCAAGGTTATAAAGCCTCTAAGATGCAAGGGGTTAAGTATTCCCTTTTGAAAAAAAATTTCAATCATTTTACTCTAAGCAAGGCTATAAAGCCTCTGTGATGCAAGGGGTTAAGTACTCTCTTTCGAAAAAAACTTTTCAATCATTTTACTCCAAGCAAGGTTATAAAGCCTCTATGATGCAAGGGATTACTGAGTTTGAAAGAAGATAAGAAAATGATAAAGAGAAAGAGAGCTTTAAATATGCAATACTCAAGGAGACAGATGATGATTGATATTGCATTTAAATTTTTGAAGGTAAAGTTGAGAGGAAAGTGAGTTCCACAGGCAAGAAATGCAAGAAAAAAAAACTATTAGAATAGAACTTATGATTACATTTACAAATTTCACCAGTAAAATGATGAAAGCTAGCCAAAAAAGGAAAGCCTACCAGAACAATTTCCATGAAAGTCTTTATAGAAAATGTACAGAAAAGCTACATTATGATGGTGCGAAAGTGACTGATGCCAGGATGCAGGTCAGGACTGATAAATTTGCAGATTCTTCTTTGGATTCTATCAAAAATCTGTAGATATATAGTACAAGCACCAAACCAGAAATGGTTGACTTGTGAAGAAACACAAGAGAGTCTTAGTAATATTTATCAGAAACTTCAAAATAAAGGAACAGTATCAAAGATATAAACAGATAATATATTTTTATTTAATAGACTTTAATTTGGGTTAGTCCTTTGTAAATTGAGTTGGTAAAAGTTTATTTGGTAGTTGTTAGTTTACAAGTCAGACTTTAGAAGTAGTTATTATATTGTTGGCAGCTGTCAAGTGTGTGGTTATTTTGGAATCAGGCAATCAAAAAGAGGCAGAAAAATGTCTTAAGCAGATGACCACTTAGTTTTTCACATGACACACACTTAGGCTGGTTTCTGGTTGCTTCCTCTTACTGCTGTATCTGCCGTTGGTTATCTCTTTATATAGAATTTTCAAAGGCTCCAGATTACTTGGCATAAAGCTTGGTTTCATCTAACATCAAAAGTATCTTTGTTCTTTTGATTGGCCAAAATTCTAATATTTATTTTCCGGCATTTCCTTCTTTTGCTTTTTTATTGCAGAAATTATGCATAGAGCCTTTCTTATTTCAATAGTGTTTCTAATCACAAAACTAGACACCCTAGACTAGTGAACTACCATTTCACAGCAGTTGGTCAGTCTTTTCTTCTTCTTCTTCTTTTTAGTTAAGAGTTGCCTTCTCATTAGTTGAGAGAGACATATAGAGAGCAAAAGGTAGAGAGAGAGACAGGAGAGAGAGGGAGAAAGAGAGAGAGAGAAAAAGAGAGAGAAAGATTTGGGTTTTTAAGAAAAGCAAATGAATTCTTCTAATTTTAATTTTTTTTAATATTTTATTTTTACATTCTGGCACACCACAGACTTTTAGAGGTATAAGACAGAATTTGGTGAAAACAATTGGCTAGCATGACGGCAAATTCTTGCAAAATTGCACAACAAGAATGGAGATAGATAGTGAGGAGATATTCTTGGTATTTCATTGCCGGAAACATAGAATATAAAACGAAGTGAAGCAAAGGTATATGCAAATATAATATATTTTTATTTATTTTCTTTACAGTGATGAGTGAGTCCTTTGCTATTCAGTGTAGCAAAGTGTTTGCTTATAAGGCGGATATTGTTAGCAGTCAGGAGAAATATCCATTTATGATAGTTTTGAAGTTAGCAGTTGATAATAGTTGTAGCCATCTTAGAAACAGGGTCAGTTTCAAACAGGGTAGAAATATCATTAGCAGATAACCTTCACGTGTCATGCATGGCTGCTTTTTGCTCAGTAGCATGTCCGTTCGTCACTCTTGCCATCTCTTCTACTTCTAGTTCAGTGGTGTCAATTAATTAAAAGTTTTGACCAGGCTTCAAGATTCTGGTGCAAACATTGGTTTTGGCTAACATCAAAAGTCTCTTTGTGTCAATTTTTTTTTGCTTGGCCCAAATCATTTTATTTTCCAGTGTTCTTTTCTTTCTCATTTTTTTATAATGGAAGTTATGTGTGGAGCCTCCCTGATTTTTGGTATTTTTCAGTCACAAATAAGTAGTCTCTGATCCTGCAAACTTTCAGTATTTTTTTACCAAGTTCAGTTTTTTCTTCTTCCTCTTTTAATTTGAGGATTGCCATCTCTTTAGTTGAGAGAGAAGTATAGAAAGAAAAGTTTAGAGAAAGTGAAAGATAGAGATAAGGGGTTTAAAAGGTAACTGAAATGCCTTTTTTAATTTCAATTCTTTTTATTTTTGCTTATATATTTTTTTTTAGATTTTTTTATTGGGACTCACTACAAGAATAAGAACAAAAGCTCTAATCTTTACATTTAATCATATATCTCTTTTCTTGGATGAATGAGTTGAAACAAAAGCAAAGAGTGAAGTTTTAAAAAGAAAAAGGCATTTACTAACTGCAATCTTTCTTGCATAACTTTTTACTCAAACTGATTTTTAAATTTGTGAACTCGGCCTTCTGTTTATTTTTCTATATACTTTGGCTCTTCTTAAAATTTCTAATTCCCTTTACCTCTTGGAGAGAATAAAATCATCCTCTTCATCATCCTCTTCATCATCATCATCATCATCCTCTTCATCATCCTCCTCATCATCACCCTCATCATCCTCTTCATCATCCTCCTCATCATCCACCTCATCATCCTCTTCATCATCCACCTCATCATCATCCTCATCCTCCTCCTCATCATCCTCTTCATCATCCTCGTCATCATCCTCTTCATCTTCCTCCTCGTCGTCCTCTTCATCATCCTCCTCATCATCCTCTTCATCATCCTATTCATCATCCTTCTCATCATTCTCCTCATCATCCTCTTCCTCATCCTCTTCATCATCCTTCTCATCATCCTCCTCATCATCCTCTTCATCATCCTTCTCATCATCATCCTCATCATCCTCTTCATCATCCTCGTCATCATCCTTCTCATCATCCTCCTCATCATCCTCTTCATCATCCTCCTCATCATCCTTCTCATCATCATCCTCATCATCCTCTTCATCATCCTTCTCATCATCCTCATCATCCTCTTCATCATCCTCCTCATCATCCTCGTCATCATCCTCTTCATTCTCCTCATCATCCTTCTCATCATCATCCTCATCATCCTCATCATCCTCTTCATCATCCTCCTCATCATCCTCGTCATCATCCTTCTCATCATCCTCTTCATCCTCCTCATCATCCTTCTCATCATCATCCTCATCATCCTCTTCATCATCCACCTCATCATCCTCTTCATCCTCCTCATCATCCTTCTCATCATCATCCTCATCATCCTCTTCATCATCCACCTCATCATCCTCTTCATCATCCTCCTCATCAACATCCTCATCATCCTCTTCATCATCCTCCTCATCATCCTCTTCATCATCCACCTCATCATCCTCTTCATCATCTTCCTCATCATCCTCTTCATCATCCTCGTCATAATCCTTCTCATCATCCTCCTCATCATCCTCTTCATCATCCTCGTCATCATTCTTCTCATCATCCTCTTCATCATCCACCTCATCATCCTCTTCATCATCCTCCTCATCATCCTCTTCATCATTCTAATCAGTTATTGGGCCAGGCACAGACCTACTGAAACTCCTTCCTAATGTGACTGTACTATTTTCTGTCATTTCTTAGTTGCAACCCCCTATCTTTTCTCCGATCTTTTCTTATTGTGTTTGTTATTGTTTGAACACTATTCAAGCAACCTCTTACTCCATCTGTTATCCTTTCTTCTTGCTATATGTCCTACCCACTTCAGTTTTTATTGTTTAATCACTTCTGTATCTCTTAGCTTGCTTTGGCTAATGTTGGCATCATTCTATCTTATCTTCTAGAGATGTTTCCCAATTTCCTTCATTGCTGATATTATATACTTTAAATTTTAAGCTTTTTGGCAGACAGATATTCAGTATCATTTCTATTTTTACTAAGTGTTTTTTGACTAATCATTATTTTATAGAACAGTAGTTAGATTACACAAAATCTCTGCTTTAAAAGGAAGTAACTGAGTAC